TAAAACGTGAGTGGAAATTGTTTAAAAAAATAACGTTACAAAATCTCTCGAGAAAAAGATCAATGATTTCATTGTTATTCAAATTTTTTCTTATATTGACAAATCTAACAACTTTCACGCACCACCTGACACATTTTCCTTTTCCATCGCTAAGCGTCGCACAACAAGCACAACTAAGACTGCGGCAATAATCCACATCATACCTAAAGTAAAATAGTCTACACTAACATAAAAAAAGCTTCTTCGATGCACAACTTCTACATGCGGTTGATTTGTAGTGAAAATGGGTTTTCTTTGCCGTAATTCTGGAGTAGAAGCAGGTATATTCGTAGAAGGTGCATTCGTTGAAGGCTTATTAGACGATGTTTCGTTTAACTCCGTCGATTTGCTTTCGCTTAACTTTTCTACTTCTCCCTAAGATAAATGTAACAAAGCAAAAAACTTCAGAAGCTATCAAAACAATCTAACACACGAATTTCAATATCAGGACAAAATACTTACCAAATTATAAGTTATTTTAAAGCCATTAAAACTTTGAAAATTTACCTTAAAACTGATTTGTGTTGCTAACTCCTTAGCTTCATCCATATTAGATTCAAATCCAGGTTTTGCTAAAATGTAATTAAAAAAATGTAACTAATTTAAATTGTTCTTGATGCAAATATTAAATTATACTTTTATAACATTTATATAAATGATAAATTATACTGTTAACAAAATATATAACTTAAATTGTTCAGTCATCGTTTGAGTTTTAATAGTTTGAATTATTAAAAAGATCTGAATAACTCCGAAACACGAACCTTGACGAACAAGGCCGCTGCGCGGAGAAACAAGTTGATAAATATATATATATATATATATATATATATATATATATATATATATATATATATATATATATATATATATATATATATATATACATATATTTATATTATATAATATATATATATATATATATATATATATATATATATATATATATATATATATATATATATATATATATATATATATATACACATCTATATCTATCTATCTATCTATCTATCTATCTATCTATCTATCTATCTATATATATATATATATATATATATATATATATATATATATATATATATATATATATATATATATATATATTATAATGTAAAATTGTAATATATATATATATATTTTACATTATAATATATATATATATATATATATATATATATATATATATATATATATATATATATATATATATATATATATATTATAATGTAAAATTGTAATATATATATATATTATATATATATATATATATATATATATATATATATATATTACAATTTTACAACAATATAATAATAATGATAATAATAATATAACATAACAAAATAAAACAAATTATAGTAATAATGATAGCAATAATAAGAGCCAGCGCCGCTCCCAATGTTTCGTGGAAGGTAGAGAACACGACACCATCATGAAGAATACAAAGGTATTTTCGAATAAAAGATTGTTGATAGGCGGTGGTCTTTGTAGTGTTCAAAGCAAATGGGAATCTGTGTATATATTGTGTGTCTAATAGCAAAAAATCTTTAGAGTTTTAGAAGGATGAGCTGAGTGTGTCCGATTTGCATAAGGCATTTGAGAAGATATGGTACTGATTTTATATTTTTGTGCACTTTTGTCCATTGCTCATTTTAATCAAGATTCTCATTGAGCATAATTCCAAGGTAGTTTGTCACTGTTGACTATTTCAAACTCAGTATTGTTGAGTACGTGAGAAGTTATAGCTTGAATTTCGGAGAACCTAGGATTAATTCTAAGGATTTTAGAGCTATTAAGTTTTATTCCATTTACTACAGACCTTAGTTTGACGCTATCTACAATGGATTTTTGCTTGACTCATCATTGAGCAATATCTCATTCTTTTACTGTATCTGTCCCTGCATGCTCTAAAAATATATATTAGTCTAGTTTTTTTTTCTGCACCTTTTATTTTTTTTAATTCAATCCCCAAGGCCATGAAGGCCACTTAATTTGTGGTTGCAACCCTTTCTCAACTCTATAATTCTGAAACACGAACCTTGACGAACAGCAGAGAAACAAATTGAGAGCAGTTCTACTAGGGACATGATGGGGATCGAACTTCAACCCTTTGGAACTCTCTTCTATTATTTATGTTTATATAGTTTAATTGATTTTTTGTTTTTTTAATTTTTCATTTACATATATATTTTTTCTTGCCATTATCTAATATAATAATAACTAAAGGAGTTGTCCCTTCTGGCAAAATTCTATCCAAACCATATTAGCTTATCAAACTCTCAACTATTTAACAATTATACATGTTTAAACATTATTATCAAACTATTTTCAAAAATGCTCTGAACATTTCTTCTCGAAATTGTAAGATAATTGGTTAGTTTCTTCTCATTCAAAAGGTTTTTCACTTTTTGAATCATTTTTTTAATACTACAAGATCAACCTGGAGATGTTCATAATT